CTTGAAGTTCTGGGATCCTCCAGTCCCCTGCAGACAGCCTGGCAATGCCATTACCAAGAGGCGTCCTTCCTGCATGGCACCTGGAATAAATGATACGTCCCTCAGAACCAAAAGCTTCTGCTCTCGATGCAATGCAGAGAGGGTGTGTGTGGACTGACGGCCAGTGCTAGCCTATAGAATAAAAGCCTAATATGCAAATTGTCCCCTTGGGCGGTGGTTCCACTGGGAGATTGGCCACTCGCTATGACGTGCGCTGACCACCAGGGGTTGGCGGGGAACATGGTGGGTGTGGGTGACACAGCGCTGGCAGTGGGTGGCAGTGGAGGTGCTGCCGGCCCTGATGGGCTCTGATGAGAGTGGGACCATGCAGGATGGTGGAGCAGGTGAGCGGGTGGCACCAGGCCAAGGTAGGTGCGAGTGGGGGCCCGATCGCCCCGTAGACAGCGACCAGTGCCGCCCGACTCCCAGGCACTGAGGGAGAAAAGGCAAATAGCAATATTAAAATATTCCTTCTAACTATTTCCCTCTCAATGTGCACAAATCTGTGCACCGGGCCCCTAGTGTTACATATGTGCCATGAAGTGTTTGACGGAGTTATAAGTGACCGGTCAAGGCCGAGTGTGGGAAGGTTGGACTTGCAGGAGCTATTTGAGTAAAGGGAGGGAGGAGAAGAGCCTGGTGGACTTCGAGTGAAATTGCAGGATGGAGGTTTGATTGGAGGGAGCTCAGCGGGGATGAGTCACCTCCCGGGGTCACGGGGCTGCAGCGTCTGGACCTGGTGTGCAGCCTTGTGCACCAGGAGTGGCTATTTATAGCTGCCCAGCTCTGTCTGCACAGGAAGGATGGGTCCGGGGGAGGGCCATGTTTAGGTGATGCTCCCACACTGGGTGTTTTGCTTGGGCATGAAGCACTGGGGCCGTCCTCGCTTGTCCTTGTGCCGTGCACGCTGCAGGCAGCAGCCAGAAGGATTTTTTTAAAAAGTGCAGGTCATGTCCCTCCCTGCTTTCGGTTCTTCAGTGACTTTCCACGGTAGGCAGAATGCAGTCCAGGCTCTTCGCCTGGCCCAGGTGGACAGCGTGCTGTCGCATCGAGGAGTGTGGCCTCTGAGAAAGCAGCCTGTGCTCACTCTGCAGGTAGATTCAGGATCCTGGGCAAATTCCTTCACTTCTCTGTGCCTTAGTTTCCCCATCCTTAAAAATATGATAATAGTGTCTTACAGGATTGTTAGCAGAGGGTTTTGAGAAAATGTAGGGAGGGATTATTTTAAAGCAAAATAAAAGTTGTAAGCAATATTTTTCTTTATTCTCTGACACAGTCTGTCTCATGGCATCTTTCTCCTAAAAGTTCTCACCTTTTCTCAACTTCCCCTGGGGTTGATTGATAGAGGAGTGAGGGCTTTGAATACTTTATTTTCATCCTATTTTATCTCCAGTACCACATGGAGGTTTCGGAAATATTAAGATAGACACTGAATCATTTCCAAATCCAAATTATGTTTGGATATCTTTGACATGTCTGGTCATGTCTCCTGTATATCCTTTTATTATCTTAAAAGCCGATTCCTGAACATTTTCGTGAATCAAAAAACCACATACAGGAGAAGATGACTTTTTTTTAAAGAAAATTTTCACACTGACTTTTGTGTATCAAATATTATGGGGAAGGAAGAGTTTGAAAAAAAACATAAAAAGACTTTATGCTTACATTATGTTAGCTTTTGTGGCATTTTAAAAAAGAATTCAGTTAGATTTTTAAAATAATAACTGTTTACAATCCCATTATAGGATAATAGAATGAACCCTCCTTCTCCACGGCTGAAGGGTGTTATGTCCTGGGGAACTGTCACTGCTGAGTTCAGCTCTAAGTATGGCCACTTGCTTGCTGCTTCCGATGACCATCCATGAACTGCCTCTTACTCCCCCCAAAAGAACCCTGTGAGGTAAAACAGCATGTCTCAGGGAACAGAGAAGCCAAGGAATAGAGGACAACTTAATGACTGGCTGACGTGTGGCTCTCCCAGAGGATAGCTCCATATGTGTCTCCCAAAGACACTTCCCATTTGATGGACCCAGAGCCATGTGAACTGTGCACGGTCCCCGGGAGCACCGGCCGTTCCTCCTCCATCCCCTTTAGTGCGTCCTGAAGTAGGCACCTGGCCTCTACCCTGCTGCTCTTCACATGGCCTCTGTCAATCTTCTCCTGCACTGTCACCTCCTGATGGCAGGAAATGGGTGTTCGTGACCTCCGTCTAGGCCAGCGGTTCTCAACCTGTGGGTCTCGACCCCTTTGGGGGTTGAACGACCCTTTCACAGGGGTCGCCTAAGACCATCCTGCATATCAGATATTTACATTACGATTCATAACAGTAGCAACATTACAGTTATGAAGTAGCAATGAAAATAATTTTATGGTTGGGTCACAACATGAGGAACTGTATTTAAAGGGCCAGAAGGTTGAGAACCATTTGTATAGGCACTCGGCAAATGCCTTTGCACTGAGGGAAAGAAGGAAGGAAGGAAGGAGCTAACAAATGAAAGGGACAATTGCTAAAGAGATGTCCACTGTCCAGAGCTTTGCTGTAATTGCCCAATTTCCCTGGAAATCTCCGGGAGCAGAATGTTCCCAGGTGCAGTGTGTGTCGTACCTGTGTCGGAACCACCTGGTTGGGGTGCTTGCTAACATTCAGATTCCTGTCTTTTTATTCATTAGAACAATAATAGCTTTCCCAGGAGTCCCACCCAGGAGGCTTCCACGCACATCGCACCGGCTGGAGCGAGACCACATGCCACCCTCAGCTATGAGGGGTTTGGAGAGAGAAGCAGGTGTAACTGGGCACGTTGTTGCCTTGGACAAAGGTGGGGCTCCATGGGCATGGAAGAAGCCCAGCGGATGGGCAGGGAGCAGCACCTGCTCTGAGGAGCCCCAGGACATTCCTCACGTCCAGTTTTAGGCGGCTGCCTGCGTGCCTTAGAAAGATCAGTGCTGTGGTTGCATTACCGTGATGGCTGGAGTCGGGTCCTTGTGTTTGTTGGCGTGTGGAGGTGATGCCCTGAATGGGTTATGCCTTTTCATCCCTAGAAAGGACCGTGGCTGCACCTCACGGAAAGAGTCTTTGACTTCTAATGATCTGAATGCCAATCCCATGAAAGGACCACCCTCCCCGAGTTCTCTGGCTTGTCAATGTGATGAAGCCAGTGGGCTCTGAGGACAACGGCAGGTGGAAGTCTCTCAAAGCTGGGTGATCCCAGCCTCGCTTCTTGTTTCTTTTACGCGCAAAAGAAGAGAGGTTTTTGCCCTGGCCGGGTGGCTCAGTCAGTTGGAGCATCGTCTCGTGCACCAAAAGGTTGTGGGTTTGATCCCCAGTTGGGGCGTGTACAAGAGGCAACCAGTCGACGTTTCTCTCTCATATCTATCTATGTCTGTGTGTGTCTCTCTCTCCCTAAAAATTAATAAAAACATACCCTCAGGTGAGGATTAAAGAAAAGAAGAGAGGTTTCTCCTCTGGGATATTCCCTTGGGCTTGGGATCTTTCCTCTATCTTTCCATTTTTTAGTGGAGCTCTTGCTTCACCCTGTCTGGTTGACCCCTGCTCTCGGTTAAAGTGCACCCCTAGTCTTTCCTCCTGGAAAAGGGATTTGGGGAAACAAATGAGGTGCATTTGGCCTAGCCAGTGTGGCTCAGTGGTTGAGCATTGACATATGAACCAGGAGGTCATGGTTCGATTCCTGGTCAGGGCACATGCCCGGGTTGCAGGCTCGATCCCCAGGAGGGGGGTGCAGGAGGCAGCTGATCAATGATTGTCTCTCATCATTGATGCTTCTATGTCTCTTCCCCTTTCTTCCTCTCTGAAATCAATAAAAATATATTTAAAAAAAAACCCAAAACAAAAACAAGTGAGGTACATTGGACGGTAAGAGCCAGTGTTAGTGTACACATTTTTGTGCACCTGTCAACCTCTGAAGGGCCTCCTTTTCGCGTTTTCAGCTCATTTCCTCTTGTAGGCTCTAGGACAGAGCTTCAAACAGTGGGATGTGAGCAAGTTATATAGAACTGGAGGCCCGATGCACGGAATTCGTGCAAGGGGCTCGGCCCTCACAGCCCCTCACAGCCCCAGCCGACCCTTGGAGCCCCGGCTTCGTCCGTAAGGTCATCTGGACGGTCGTCTGGAAGGAATCCTGGACGGTTGTTCTGTTGTTCGCTCTAATTAGCATATTAGCTCTTTATTATATAGGATATGCATTCCTCAGCACTCAGGGTGGGGGCGGAGCCTGGGCCACCAGAGTGTCCTCACCCGTCATCTGAAGTTGTGAGTGCCTCTTCCATTGACCCCACTGTGCCTACAAATATAACCGTTTTCTGTGTCATGAGGTCAGACAACTTGGAAAATGCCACGTTCAGCCCTGTTCCCTGGGTCTTTCTTTCTATCCTCTTTCCTTTGGAGGTCCAGATGCTGCCTCTTTCTTTTTCTTCCATTGGCTCGAGGTCTCCTGCCTTTGGCGGTTTGTGAAAGGTGTTCCTAGCAGACCTGGTGCCGGGACGCTGTCCGTGGCAAACCTGGAGTGTGTCTGACTCCGTTTTCTAGCTTAACGTCCCTTTTTGTCCCCCATGTGGAGTCTTGTTATATTCTCCCCGCTCTGCTCTTCCCTCTTCCATAAATATTCTATCGATGGGGCTCAGCCCCTTTCCTATACATCATCTCGGCCCCCAGGCTCTGCTGTGCCCTTCTCTGTCTGTAGTCTTCTTGTTGGCCACACTGACCGACCTGGCCAAACCCAGAGATGCCACCGTCTTTCCACCCGCACCATCCCCAAGTCCCCCGTAAGATGCAAGTGTAGAAATTCAGCGTAATAATCTGCTGGGAGTCGTCATTCATGATAGTGTTCATTGATATTTCCCATTCATTTTTTTCTCTATCTTAGAACTTGTATTGGTCTTTGAGCTGAGGAAGGACAAAGAGATTGTAATGAAGCTGAAAAGTGTTTCTTTGTTTTTTTTTTCAGATGAGAATTCTCCAGCCAACTTCTGGGATTCTAAAAACAGGGGTGTGACCGGGACACAGAAAGGACAGATTGTGTGGAGGATTGAGCCCGGGCCCTATTTCATGGAACGTAAGTAACCAAGTGTGAAATAGATGTTGGTTATGAGACATTGTCTACATATGCAGGAATCTATGGGGTCTTTTCTGAGTGCTATTTAAAATGTTTTTGGCTCTGATTTACATACACTTATACCATAGAACTCCAGACTAGAAAATGCATTATTTTAGAAAATGCTCATTAGAGAATGTTCACATATTTTGAAAAGTGTGTGTGTATTGTATGACCATATGATCTATAAATTACGCGTGGCTATTTTAATACTTCACACATTTTTATATACATTTGCAACTACATTTGTAATTCATATTTAATTATTAATACTAATTTTAGAGAACAGGAAAAACAATTCAAGATTTAAATTTAAAAGTTTAACTTAATTTAAAATTTTTATTTGCTAACTCTGCTATTATTTTTCCCAGCGGCAGAATAACTTTTGCATTTGGGTCCTGGTTTTTACAAGTGTGGGTAAGATAGTCTGGGACTGCTATAGAGGTCTGTTTACTGCTAATGAGGTCTCTTTACTAGGAATCGGAAATTGCCTGCCAATAATTCAACCACGCCTCAGTTATCTGATGTTATAGTCATTTGTACATGCAGATGCTTTCACATAACACACGTGATTCACAGAAATATGTCATTCCTTTTTATTTTGGATGAAGCGGAGTATCTATACTTCCCACTAATATTATTGAAAACATAGTAAGTACATTTTTGTGGAGTAGCTAGATACTACTGTAAGCAAATAATTTACTGGTTGGTCCAGGTTAATGTCTACACATACAGAATTTTTCCTTACTGTAGACAAAATTGGCTCTAAACACTTTCCCAGTTATTTATCTCTGTATAACAATTACATTTTCCATATGCAGGGTGTTTAATCCAAGAGAGTGTGGGGATGCTATACAGGGAGGGTACTTACTACACCTTAAAATATAAAGTAAGGTTTGATTGAGTAGCAACTTGATGTAGGCACAGTATTAACGCATATGAAACTTCTGCAGTATAACAAGTTGTTTTGGAAGATTAGCAGCCATTACTTTGAATTGCCATCAGATAATTTCTTCCACATTTTCACTGGGAGGTCAGAATTCTAGTTCTTTCTCTAATCCTATTTCTGACCCCTAAGCAATGCCTTCTTTTCAGTTTAATTTCTGGCTAGATTCTCTCTTTAAATCTTAAGTGGAATGTAATTTTAAGGGAAAATGGTCACGATATAAGTGAGAGGGAAAAGGCAGATACATACAGCACAGCCCCAGCTGAAATCATGGCAGATGGGGAAAGCCCCAATGGGTATGTTTGCCAAAACATGAGTGAGAGGCTGTTTCTGGGGGGTGAGGTTATGGGTGCTTTTTCCTGCCTTTTTCTACTTTACTTTCCAACCGTGGCCCAGCTGGCATCACTACCTAAGTCATCGGAAAAATAAATGATAAAAGGCCATGGGGAAAAGGGAATGGGAACGAGCCAAGCTTCCTCTCAGGGTGATTCCTCTTTTGAGAGGGTCCCAGGGTTTGAGAGGCTGACCTGACTGAGAAATATCACCAACTGAACGTCAGGGGAAAAGGGGAAACAACCTTCGTGTTGGCTCCCAAGTGCAGAAGGCTGCGGGAGTGGTCACCCCGGGTGGCGCGTGCAGATTCATACTGTGGGGTGTTCCGAGATAAGTAACTCGGAACCCCCGGAAGAAGTCAGCATCACGTGCTGCTGTTATTTGGAACAGTATGTGTGAACAACAACCACCACCCATGTACAGACTGTCTCAGTTTTTGTGACTGACTTTCTTTCTCCCTTCGAAAGTGGTAGAGGTTCGGGATGTCCTGGCTGATGAGGGGCTAGTAAACTTCTCTTTCTCTGAGAAGGTTTTTCTTCACCCCTCCTGCTAGTACTTAATATCTCTCTCTCTCTCTCTCTCTCTCTCTCTCTCTCTCTACCCCCCTCTCCTCCCCTCCCCCCTTTTCTCTCTCTAAAAAATCAAGAAAAATATATCCACTGGTGAGATTATGAAACTTTTTTTTTTTTAAGTCAGGGGGTGGCTGAGTATGTTAGACAGTTTTTATATGTTTAATCTTTGATCTTGAAAACTTAACGACACCAAAAAACATTTGCTTTCATCTTCAGACAGAAAATTTTTATCTTTAGCTCATCAGAAGTCCAGTCAAAGTAAAATTCTCCAAAAATTGACCTAAATTCATGGGAAAAACCTAGATTTGAGCACTGAGCTATTTCTGAATATAAAGATGGCTTCGGGTTGTCTTGATAAACCCCTACAGGAGGCAGGAGGCAGGAGGCCGGGCATATTATTACGGAACCTGCCTGAATGAATTTGAAGGACAAAGACTGGTTTAATTTGGGGTAGACGACCTTGCTAGGCATTGGAGAGGAGGACCGCTTCCCTCTGCACTTGTCATCGGACTGTCAAATATTCCTCAAATGAGCTAATGCTCGCAGAAACTGGGTTGCTCATCTGGGCGGTGTGCATTCTTGAGTTTTGAAATGTAAGAGGTTTCAAAAGTTGTCTTGGGTCAGACATGCCAGAATGTCTGTTTCTATAGTCTTTTATAGACTACTAGAGGCCCAGTGCATGAATTCATGCACAGGTGGGGTCCAGCCAGCCTGACCTGATCGGGCCTATAAGGCAGGGCCGGGCGGGGGGAAGGGCTGCGGGCGGTTGGCTGGCTGGCCCCACCCCCTGGTCAAACTCCCGGTTGAACTCTTGGTCGAGGGGACAGTTTGCATATTAGTCTTTTATTAGATAGGATGGTCATTCATTCAGACCTGCTTTCTCTCCTGCCTTCCTCCTGTCTATTTGTCCATCTTTATGTGGAGAAGCCATTCTTGGGTAGATGGATCATTCCTTGCTCCCTAGTCCAGATCCTCCGTCTCCCCTGCCTGTGAGCAGGCTGGCCCTGTGAGCAGTGGCTTCTCCCTGTTCTGATGCTTGGTCATCGCACCTGCATTGTCTTTCCCCGTCCTTGCATCTCTTTCTCGCAGGAATAGCTTTTTGTTTTCCTCTTGCAGTGAGAGGTTAAAAATGTAGCTCAAACAGAAGGCTGTGCCCCAACAACCCTTTCCACCCTTTCGAGTTTTCTTTCCAGTTACCTCTTCTCATAACTAAAATGTTCAAGGACATCGGTCAATATGCTAGTTTCTCTCTTACTCAGAGGGGATGTATTTTAATCTTGAGTGACCGAAAGCACTGAATAATAATAGGACGTGACAGCTCCTGCCTGCATGGAACATTCCCGTATTTTCGGGACAGGCATCTTTCCTGGTGTCCTGCTCCGGGACCTGGCTGGTTTGAGTCCAGGTGCCAACAGCTGTTCTGTGTTTTTCTCTCTGGGGACCTGCTGTGTGTTTGCTTTTGTGACGGGTGATCTGCGTCAACCCCTGTGCTTTGCCCCACCCAGGAAGCCGTGGGAAGCTGTTGGCTCTGCCCTGTTTGGGGTGATCATGTCCATCCACAGAATCTGTTTTGTTCAATTCAGAGTAAATTCATCTTAGAGGTCACTGAGACTCTAGTGCAGTGATGGCGAACCTATGACACGTGTGTCAGAGGTGACACGCGAACTCATCTTTTTGGTTGATTTTTCTTTGTTAAATGGCATTTAAATATATAAAATAAATATCAAAAATATAAATCTTTGTTTTACTATGGTTGCAAATATCAAAAAATTTCTATAGGTGACACGGCACCAGAGTTAAGTTAGGGTTTTTCAAAATGCTGACACGCCGAGCTCAAAAGGTTCGCCATCACTGCTCTAGTGTATCACTGGGGTTAGAGATTTGGGTTATAGCAAGGAATAAAATAGCACCTAAAATGGGTCAGCTGGCAAAGTTGGCCTGGCTACCACTATCCTACAGATAAAAATGAGCAACCCAGCCGGTATGGCTCAGTGGTTGAGCGTTGACCTATGAATCAGGAGGTCACGGTTAGATGCCGGATCAGGGCACAGGCCCAGGTTGCAGGCTTGATCCCCAGTGGAGGGCGTGCAGAAGGCAGCTGATCAATGATTCTCTCTCATCATTGATGTTTCTATGTCTCTCTCCCTCTCCCTTCCTCTCTGAAATCAATAAAAAATATATTTTTAAAAAATGAGCAGTCACTTGTTTTGTCTTAGAGTGTGTTCCCTCGCTGACTGTGTAGAGGAGATGGCATCCTAACTGGAGAGTTCGGGGAAGGTCTTATACAAATGCACGTCTCTGTATTGGGAAGCGAGCTGCTCGCTCCCTCCCCGTTGACTTGGTCATGGAGGTCCTGCTGCAGGCAGATTCGGAGTCCTGGTCTCCAGCGTTAGGGGGTGACGCTGATGAGCTCCTGCCCGCAGAATCCAAGGCTCACGCCCGCCACCGAGCTTGCCCGGCTTTGACGGGCCTGTGCATTGTGCTGAGCCGTGTTCTTGCCGAATACGTGCTGTTGGTCTTGGGAGAAAGCAGGTGGGAGAGGAAGGTTTGCTGAGGTCTATGCAGCTGTTACAATCGCAGTCATACTCAGAGCCCCGTGTGGGTGTTCGCGGCAGTCACGCCTGGCGTGTTCCGGGCGGGGCGGTGCCAATGAAGCTGGGATGCCCACGCAGGTGGTTCCTCAAAGCCCGCAGCTCATCGTTCCTGCCTCGGCCACGCCTCGCTCCCAGCCTGCTCGTCTGTTAGGTTTTTCATTCGCAGGTTTCAGTCCCAACCAGTGTGTTCTGTGAGCCTTCCTGATCCCGCGTGTCCTCACTGGTCTGTGCCTCCAGCCTTCTCCCGCCATCCTCCCTGTCAGTGTCTGTCTCCTGTGCTTTGTCAGGCCTGTGGCTGTCACCTCAACACTCCATCACCTGCTAGACCAGATGCCTTCCCCGGATTCTCTTGCCTTGCCCAGCGTGGGGCGGGCCTGTTTGTGATGGGTGTGTGGTAACAATCCTCTGCTCGGCAGTGCTCGCTACATTTCCAATCACCACAGTGATTCACGTTTGTGATGGAAAGACTCAATATTTTACCTCATGACAAGACTGTTCTTTTTGTATTTCATCATGGATAGGAAACGTGCAATAATATAAATTCCTAAAAGAGGATTTTTCTTTAATTGTTGTATTTTTTCTCTTAAAACAAGTGAACCAGATACTCCATGGAGGTCATTGGGTGCAGCCAGGAGGGTCCGTGGGAGGTGGACTTCCTTGGGAAATACGTCCAGTGGCTCCCCCTTTAGTGGTCCAGGAGACACAGTGGAGGAGGCCGCTCCTGTAGGCGGGCCTGGCCCTGGGACTGCCCATCAGCATCCCTGCCTGTATTGGATGACACCTGGGGAGCGAGGCATCTTGCGGTGACACTTCCGTGACTCAGGCGCGCTGTACACGGAAACATCCCAGTGCCTGTGCCATCTACCTGTGACGCGTTCTGACTTCACGATCTTCGAAATTGTTACTTTCCAAAATCAGTAAATGATGTTTGTATTGCTCTTTATTGAGTTCAGATTTTACACATATGAAATACATATATGCTACATACATGTGTAATAAATATGAACACACACATAACCTGTGGATATAGATCTCCACATACATCTGCATCTGCATCTGTCTGTTCACATGCCAGTAGTGTCTGTACCAGTGGTTACTAAATCTGATCCCTGTCTAGTAGCTGCATTTAGATCACTTGGAAATTTAAAATAATGCAGGTCCCAGGCCCTAGCACTGCACAGTCTAAGACAGTATTTTCTCATATGTGTTAACCTGCTTTCTGTGTCCGTGGACAGCTGCAGCCTGTCTGATTGTAGAGGTTCAGGATGAAGGCTTTGATACCTAAGGTCGGTTTGAGTCCTGACGCTGTCATTTCCTGCTTGACCTTCAGCACATCACACTCCATCTGCAGTCTGGGGACAGGCCTTCTGAATCCCAAAGTGGGTGTGAGGTGAAGGAGCCCTGAGACCAGAGATACACCTCCACGCAGGGCAGCTAGTCTTAGCCTCATCTCCACACCGTTTACTTTGTGGCACGTTTGCACATTATCTCCTAATACATTTGAGGGTGTTCTTACAAAATCCCGGAGGAGCATCTGTGATCAAGTAAGAAGTGGCATAGCCAGTCCGTTGCCTCTGCTTGGAAAAGGAGGGACCATTCAAAGACTCAGGAGTAGGGCTTTCTGAGAGGCTGTGTGGGAATGGCCTCAGCTGGTTGTTCCGTGTTTGAATGAATGACTGTTTTTCTCCACTCCATCCGCAGCGGAGATAAAGATCTGCTTTAAGTACTACCACGGCATCAGCGGAGCCCTGCGTGCCACCACCCCCTGCATCACCGTGAGGAACCCCGCTGTGATGGTGAGTCCTGCTTGCTGCTTCCTGGGTGGGCGGTCCCTGGGGCCTTGCTTTCTATTTCTGCACCTGCAGCTCTGGCAGATGATGGGGAACAATGAGAAGGAAACACAGGCTCCGCTTTATTAAAGGGAATCACGCACAGGCTGGCTTACCTGCATCCCTCATTCTAACCAGTGGGAAAACAGGATTTGATTTATATCAGTTCTGTGTCGTCAGCTCTCCATGAAGCAAATTAGTGAGTGCTCCACTGTGGAAGGGGTTTCAGACTCCATTGGGGTCGGTAGGAAACGGTAACATTGCATCTTCACATGGATTTAATTTAAGGAGCTCAGTGCGCAGAAGGGAGAACAGTCATGATTTAACGTGTGTGATTCTGCCTGCTGCTCAGTGAGCTTTCATCCCAAAGGGAGTGTGAGGTGGGGATCAGGCATGTGCTCTTCCCAGGAGGCCTCAGTGCTGAGTCCCTCTCCGGCTGAGCTGGGGTCCGGTGCCTCCGGGACCACAGGTAGTTTTGTACGACCTGGCCAGTCAGTGAGGCCAGCCGCTTCCCCAGGCCCTCAGTGGAAGAAAGAGATATTTAACTTAGTTTTGGAGCACGTCGTTGGTTTTGTGGACCCTTGAAGGGAAAGTGTGTCCATTTCTAACCTGGTACTTCCCGGGGGTTCCTTTTCTCAATGTTGTGATTTTTCACTCCATCCACTAACCTTAGAGTCTCACCGCCTCACAAGGTGCACTCAGTTCTGTGTCGTCAGCTCTCCATGAAGCACTCCATTGCACACGGGCGATTGGACTTGGATAGTTTAGGTCAGTGGTCGGCAAACTCATTAGTCAACAGAGCCAAATATCAACAGTGCTTCTTCAAAATAGACTCGCCCAGGCCGAAAACCGACTTCTGTGCTTGGGCCATGAAGTTTCAATCGCACTGTATGTGCTCCCACACGTGGTATTTTGTGGAAGAGCCACATTCAAAGGGCCAAAGAGCCGCATGTGGCTCGCGAGCCGCAGTTTGCCGACCACGGGTTTAAGGGAATTCCGAGAGTGTAAGAGATGTAAATCATTACACTTGTATCACTCGTTCGTAACATTCAGGTCAGGAAAGTATAGAAGAAAAATACTGACTCCCATAATATCGAATCTTCATGACATTGTGTGTGTGTGTGTGTAAATGTATAGATTCATGCACTTTTGGAAATAGGCACGTGGCCAGGTTGACTCCTTGAGATTCAGAAAGTAATCTCTGCCGATGGCAATTTGCAGTTGTGCAGGCCCACCAATGCCGTATTAGCCAGTCCTTCCCTTTCTCCACTCATGCGAGCAAATACTCACTGGGTGCCAGCTAATGCCAGGCATCGCACTCACCACCAGGATGAAATGATCAGCAAAACACAGTGTGTTTTCACCGGTCTCGTGGGGGAGGAGAGACATCAATTAAGTTACATTATAGTTATTTGAGTCTAATGACAATGAGCGGGAGTAAGACGGGGCTATGAGAGCACGTACTGTAGGATTTATCCTGATCAGGAAGGTGTTGGAGGGCTTCCTGAGGGAGGCGTGTTTGCAGGACAGTCTGAAGGATGAGTAGGAGTCACGTAGGTGGAGAGAGGTAGGGAAGAGCATTTTAGGTCGAGGGAACAGTATGTGCAAAATCTGCAATATCTAAGTACTGAGCTCACATGTGAATTATATTTGAGTTCCCATCGTAGGACACATGGTATGGAATAGGGAAGAACAACCCACATGTACTCTATAAGACTTGGAAGCCCACAGGAGAATACAGTTGTTGACTACAGCATCTGCCCTGTCACATAGTCAGCACGGGCACACGCTTTAATTAATAGTCTAAAGAGAAACATTGCAAGCCAGAAGTGTGGCGCCGTTTGTAATAAAGCCCTTTGAAAAATTAACTGCGTGTGAAATTAGGCAGTCGCTTCCAAACACGATTTTTCTGAACTCAGGATTTTTATTTATTTTTTTTAGACTCGAGCAGTTTCAACAATCAGCTATCATTGAAGGCAGCGGGAGTTCACCGCCGGGTGAACATTGATCTCATTCCATTGATCTTTGCATTGAGATTATTCTGTCAATCCTGTGGCTCGTTTGGAGATAATTAATTTGCTTCAGGCAGCGTGTAGAGCACCTTAAAGGCTCTGTCGATACAGCGCTTGGGATCAGAATAGAATATTGTGGTTCCGAGGGTGACTCATAGGATTGGCGGCCAATCGCCTCCCGACCAGGCTTGAGACGGCCGGCCGGGTCTGTATCCAGAATGAGAGGCTGGGCCACGCGGGCGCCTCGTTGTGAGGGTGAGCACTGTGTCTGTGTCACAGCGTGACGGCCGCCCGGGCACGGCATGTGGCCTGTGTTTAGTTATTGAGACGGATAAGCTGCATCGACAGTCACCAGGCCCACTTAGAACAGTCCCGAAGAAGTCACTGGGAGACTCCCTAGGGCAGGAAACGAGCTGCCACCCTAATCTGCTCCTTTCTCACACATCCTTCTGCGAAGAGTCCAGGATACAAACCGTTGTGCCCTCTCTGCCACTGGGGCTTTGACGTCACTGTCATTCATTAGAGTACACCGCGATGTGTATCTCAGATGCTTGGAACAGGAAATCCTTTGGCCTCAGGGACAGGCAAAGGCGACCGTCACTCACGGCCATGTATTGTTTCTGCACTGGGTTGACAGGGTTGCTTCTGGCTTTTCCTGGAATGAATCTAGGGAGTGAGTTTATTTAAAAACCTTTCTGCAAACAGCAAGGGCAGACATGTTTATCATCGCCGATGCCCCCGTAGCTAGAGGGAATGCGTGCTCTTCCCTGGCTTCATGGTCATCGGTGGTCACATCGAATGCTCTGGGTATTCTTTCAGATGAGCATTTTGCCACCATGGTAGGAAAGGACAGTGTCTATCTGTGAATTCTGTGAACATTGTTTCACATTAACCTTTTGCTGGACAGTGAATCACATTTTAAAAATGAGAATCTAAGGGCAAATTTTTTGTTTCTGTAATATCTTATAATATTTTGAGTAGGTTTTCAGAAAACCTATTTAAAGTTTATTTTTAAAAGAATATGAATCTTTTCAGCCTTCTTTAACTCACTTTGGGTGACTCTCCCTTAGCAGGAAGGGTCATCGTGTCTTTGGGGGCGGTACAGCCCACAGGGCCATGGGGTCCATTTGAGGGGAGGCCATGACCTATGGGTCTGGCTGTCTCAGCTGCAGACTGTGCTCCCTTGCTGCTCACCACTCCACAGTCCAGGGTTGTGCGTGGTGAAAGCAGGACGCGGTAGTGAGCAGCCGTCAGTAGCTTGGCTGGTTTGCTGTTGCTGCGCCGGTCAACCTGGGGGTGATGAGTCGGAGAGGTGGCACACAGTGTAATAAAGCATACGTACTCACCGAGAGCCAGCCCCGTGTCATCAAGGAGTTGGTTTGATGGGCAGAATGTAAAAAGATACCTGGATGGGACCCAAGGACACTGCAAATGACATGATCAGGAAGCAGCCAAGTGTCACACAAAATAGTTTTGACTACGTTACAGGAAGTGGAGAAGGAAGTAGAAATGGATATTTCAGAATTGGCATGGAATTCATTTCCAGTGGTTCTCAACCTTCCTAATGCCACGACCCTTTAATACAGTTCCTCATGTTGTGGTGACCCCCAACCATAAAATTATGTTCGTTGCTACTTGATAACTGTAATTTTGCTACAGTTATGAATCGTCATGTAAATATCTGATATGCAGGATGTATTTTCATCGTTCGAGACCCACAGGTTGAGAATCTAAGGGCAAATTTTAGACGTTTTCCGGCTTTTCTTGGATTAGTGAAAGTTTTATTTGTTGATGGCATAAGATTTTTAAAGGAGTGTGGGGAGTGTTCCAAAGATAAAAGATGGAAGGGTGTAATATAAACTAATGTGGTTTCACTTTTCCAACTATTCAACATCTATTCTGCCTTCAGCCTGTCTCTTACAGTATTGCAGCTTTTTTTTTTTTTTTTTAGAAAACTATGAAATTTTGTTTCCTAGTATGCCATAACTTGAGCACTAATTGTACATAAATTGAGGGAAAGGCTAAATCTGCTATGTGGTCTATAAATGATTGGTTTCAATGAGATAATTTACTCGAAAGCTTTTAGGAAAAGCTTTACAACACAGTGATTAGTACAACAGCATTGAGAATGCCTATTACCACTAATCATAACAGCATGTGCCATGTACCTGTAGCTCAGTCATATAGGAGCCCCCGAAGGGATGGGACAGCCACGTGGCCACTCAGAAATGTTTGGCGAGAGAGCATCATTCTACATATGTATGGATGAGTCTGGTACAAATCGGTAGTATTCTAGGGTTCTAAACTCTGAGATTGATGTTGATTTTTTTACTA